TAATAATTATAATATCATATTGTAATTATAATATCGTATTATTATTATAATTATAATATTATTATAATATCATATTATATGATAAAATAATAATAATAGAGTTTAATATAATTATGATATTATTTGTTACAATATTACTATTATATTATATTACGAGTCTGAATTTTAGATTGAGAAGATTATAAAGTTTAAATTTTATTAGGGGTATTATAAAAGTTTCATTAATTGTACTATGCTGATTCCCGCACAATCTAAAAGCTAAAGTTGTCTTTAGGTTGCATCTGATTTTGGCTGTAGATTCTTAAAAAATTATTCAAAAAATACTTTTGAGGAGATTTACCAAATACTTAAATAAATTTTGAGAAGGAAAAACAATACCAAACTAAGCCTAAGTCGATTGAAAGATACAAGAAAACCTCCGTCTTTAATAAATCATATTGCCAAAGAATTAATAAGAACCTGGTACATCATTTTCTTTTAGGGTGTACTTGTACAATACAACCTACTTTCAGTAGTTAGATGATTATCATCACGAAACAATCTATTCATTTAAATTTTCTTGGGCTAAAAGCTAATAAATTTCTTTTCAAGTCAGATAAAATCGTGTTTAGATGTACATCATCTACTGGATGAAACTTGAGTCTTATGATACATCCCAAATTTTTAAATTGTATCATAACCTATAATTCTTAAATTCTTAAAAAATACCTGTGATTAAATCATTTAAATCTTTTACTGGTCTCTATCTTTACTGTTGGCATCGTACCCTGGCATAAAAATTTCCCAGTTTAATAGCGCACATTCAACATTTCTTCATCTCTTTTGGATAAACCACAACACACGTTTTAATTAGGAAATCATAAATTTCAAATCCATATGCCAGGTTAATCTTGGGTCAATTTTCGTGGCTGTAGATATTATAATGAATCATGATCAACTGGTTTATGTTTAGGACGTAACTAGTATTGAATTTTGAATTTAATAATTAGTCTATTTGACTTTTGCATCGTTGACTTGAATTACGGTCCATTTATGCAACATGGTGTGTCAATATTCTAAACACGAAAAATATACACCTTGAACATAACAAATCACAGACTAGTTAAATGTAAAGACCATAAAATACTTGTCAATAAAGAAGTAAATGTGGATTAATTTCTAAATTAACCATCGTTAATTAATTAATTTAACGTGTCGTGTTCTACACGATCAATTGATCGTTAAATCATATTATAACTTTCTTCACACGTCAAAATTAGTACCAAAAAATTATCTAAAGAAACAGAAAGAAAAGTAATTAATCTATTATTGACACTTCCAAAATGGAAAAAAAAAAAGAAAATCTATTATTGACAAAAGGAATAAACGAATCAAGATATGATCATGTATATGAACTAAACGAACTGTAAATCTATCTATGACTACGCATGTCGTTTTTGTTAATATTCTGGCAGTCCTTTCATGAACTCCAGAAACGACGGCGACACTAGTGAAGAACTCCCGAGATTTGGCGACGACGTCGCATCGGGGAACCGAAAAGCCGCCCGAGGCGAGCAGAAGAAGTTGGGAGTGAATAACGGAATGTCCGCCAAGCTCGGATTTGAGAGAGTGTAATTACGATCACTGCCATTGTTGATCTCATCCGTCAAAACCGACGACGATTCGTTGTTGTCGGACTTGGCTTCGGAGGTCGAAGAATTGGAAATTACAGGTTGGGAATCTTGGGATGATATTGGTCGTTGCTGCGACGACGACGACGTCGTTTTGTGATTATTTTTGTTGTCGTTTGATCTGGACATGCCGGTGAGGTTCTGGACGACAGCCATGAAGTTGCGGGGTTCGGTGTGGATGATCCTGGGCGAGTGGGTGTAGATTATCACCGGCTGATGGCGCTGCGGCGGATTCATTTGATGGTGATTGGACGGCTTGTATATGGTATGGGATTCCTTGTTGATCTTGAGAGGGGAAGGGCGTGCGCCGTTGATCTTGATGAACTTTTCCGGGCTCATGATGTTTTTTTTTTTCGAAGATGAATTGTATTTTTGTTTTTGATGAAATATTTGAGGGGTTTTGGAGATTTTGCTACAGAGGCAGGCAGGGAAGAGAGAGAGATGGATGGGGAACTATATATAGAGATTTAGAGAGAGAAAATTAAAGCCAGCGATTCTGACCGTTGACATATAACGAGAGTGGAAAGTCGATAATTAATTAGTTAATTAATTAAAAATTATATATGGTAGAAGAAGGCTTCGGTGGAAAAATGTAAGAAGAAAATGTTTTTTTTTTTTTTTTTTTTTTTTTTTTTTTGGGTGTAATTAATATCTATGAAAGAGAAAAGGAAGTTAGTTAGATTATAGCCAATTGGGAAACTAGTTGTATAATGGTGGGCGTTCTTGTCGGCTTTAACAGCGACGGCGGAATTGGCGGTAACACAGGAAGTAGTTTTATTTCTGTTTAGTTTACTCTTTTTGTGCCACTTGCTTCTACGGGAAAGATAACCATTTATAATTGGATTACCAAACTTGTTACATACTGAGTAAATTTTCGTATGTTCTGTTTTTACTTTTTTTTTTAAAATTAAATATGGTCAATGTATGCACGTATCAGAATCATGATTTATAATCATTATCAATTTACATGTGTTTTTTATGAAAAAAAATAATGTAGTGAGTCACGAATTATGATTCGAATCATGGCACGAATCGTCGTACTAAACACCTTCTTATTATTCATAACAATCACATGATTTAAATAAAGTGGTATTTATAAAGTAGGTTTAATGATGTTGTCTAAATTTTGTTCTTAAAAGTGTATTTTGTGATTTTTTTCTTTCTACTGCATGTGATTTAAATCGTATTATTACAGTTAATGACCTTATAGATACAAATAATATAATAGAATCCGCACCATAAAAAGTCCAATCTAGAACTCGGTAAAAATGTTCATGTAACAGTACATAGTTAAATTGCGAGCGGCATCAAGTACGGCACCACAAGGCTGACAACCTCCGATCGCCGTTTTCGACCCAAAACCCACCATGAATCATCAGCTCTCCTCTTAAAATGAACTTTTCAAAAAACTATAGATGCTGTTAAAAATGCAACAATAAAAACATGCATGAACAAAAACTAGGAAAAGAATAATTTATAGAGAGATCGTAGGAACCCGAGTGCTTTCCCTTACAATCAGGAGGATACTCATTGGAGTTCATCCACGGTATACACTGAAATTGTTTACTAGTGAATTGGGAGAATTGATTGGCGAACGAGGAACATTATTATTGTGTTTTTCAGAAAAATATTAACCCTTTTTAACTGTGAGGTCATGTTGTCCAAGTATAAATATAATAGTAAGCGTAGAGCGTAACAAACTTACCTTTAAGAATGAGTCTTGATTTTTACCCTTTTAAATAATATAGTTTTTTAACTAAAAAGATATTAATCAAGAGTAAGAAATAAAAATTTAAACACGTGCACTTTAAAATGTGTTAAAGTATAAAACTGTTGTTAGCCTACCTCCTAACAGCTTAAGCTTTTAGGATAGATTGGTAAACTAACAAAATGATATTTGTCTCCTATCTCCCATAATAAGCAGTAGTATTATACCAGCCAATAGCTGTAACCTTAACAATATTTCTCTTTTAGGATACAGAGATAAACGTACGGTATACGCACTAGCTGAAAGTAACATTTGTTGAACAAACCCAAAATCTAAGGTTTCACTTTTGCAATTGAAAGAAATAATGTCAATAGGAATTATTATACAGGCTTAGCGAGAATGCCAAGAAAGTCAAGGTGGGACTGTCCAATTCATAAAATTGTTTTCGCCTCTCTTTGGATTAGTACAAAAATAACTTAATGAAGTTTATTTTTACAAAAACAACTTAGGGCTTGTTGTTTTGGACCAAAACTAAAAAAAAAAATTGAACTTTTATTTAAGTTCATAGTCGTTTATAAAATTTAAGGGGTTGTTCTTTTGCAACGAAATTCAGAATAAGTTTGAACTTGAGTTACAACTTTATTTAAATTCATGTTCTTTTATAAAATCTGAGTTTGAACTTGAGTTTGGGGCTAAACTCGAGTTCAAGTTTCCCCTTCAACTCGAGTTCATAAACTTAAACTCAAGTTAATGAACAATGTTTTTTTTATTTAAAATATCATAACTTTTTCGTTTTAATTCTGATTGAGATGATTTTTTTTCTATGCATTCATAACGAAAAAGACGAATAAAATCCCACCCATATACCCTATTAAAATTTTTCATCACCATTGAGTTTTTATTAAATAACTATCTATATACAAATTTAAGTTTTGACCCACCCAAACACAAACTAAAATAGATTCTTAATTCAAATCATAACTCAAATGTGCACATCAAAACACAAACTCAAGTTACAATTTCAACTCAAATTATAACTCAAACTCAACTTAAGATCATCACTCAAGTCACTTTAACTCAAAAATACAAAAGAACAAAGTTTTAACTTGAGTTTGGGGCTAAAATCTTAGGGGCTGTTCTTTTGCCGTTTTTGAGTTAGGAGACTTGAGTGTAGATTTTAAGTTGAGTTTGAGTTATAACTTGAGTTGAAGTTGTAACTTGAGTTGAAGTTGTAACTTGAGTTTGTGTTTAGTTGTGTACATTTGAGTTATGGTTTGAGATAAGAATCTTTTTGAGTTTGTGTTTGAGTGAGTCAAAACTTAAATTTGTATTTAGATAGTATTTTAATAAAAACTCAATGCTGATGAAAAATTTTAATAGGGTATATGTGTGGGGTTTTATTCGCATTTTCGTTGTCAATGCATAAAAAAATCATCTCAATCAGAATTAAAACGAAAAAGTTATACCCATTTTAAGAATAGAAAAAATATTGTTCATTAATTTGAGTTCGAGTTTCTGAACTCGAGTTGAAGGAGAAACTTGAACTCGAGTTTTAATCCCAAACTCGAGTTCAAACTCGAGTTCAAACTTGAGTTCAAACTTAAAAGAACATGAACTTGAATAAAGTTGTGACTCGAGTTACTTTTTTTGAGTTTTTGACTCAAGTAAGGGGCAACCGAACAGCCCCTTATGAGGTCAAGGGGTTGTTCTTTTGCATTTTTGAGTTAGGCATTCTTGAGTGAAGATCTTGAGTTGAGTTTTAGTTATAATTTGAGTTGAAGTTGTAACTTGAGTTTGTGTTTGGTTGCGTACATTTGAGTTATGGTTTGAGATAAAAATCTTTTTGAGTTTGTGTTTGAATGAGTCAAAACTTAAATTTGTATTTAGATAGTATTTTAATAAAAACTCAATGGTAATGGAAAATTTTAATAGGGTATATGAGTGGGATTTTATTCGCCTTTTCGTTGTCAATGTATAGAAAAAAAATCATCTCAATCAGAATTAAAACGAAAAAGTTATACCCATTTTAAGAATAAAAAAATACTGTTCATTAATTTGAGTTCGAGTTTTTGAACTCGAGTTGAAGGGGAAACTGGAACTCGAGTTTTAATCCCAAACTCGAGTTCAAACTTAAGTTCAAACTTAAAAGAACATGAACTTGAATAAAGTTGTAACTCGAGTTGCTTTTTTTGAGTTTTTGACTCAAGTAAGGGGCTGCCGAACAGCCCCTTATGAGTTCAAGGGGTTGTTCTTTTGCATTTTTGAGTTAGGCATTCTTGAGTGAAGATCTTGAGTTGAGTTTGAGTTATAATTTGAGTTGAAGTTGTAACTTGAGTTTGTGTTTGGTTGTGTACATTTGAGTTATGATTTGAGATAAGAATCTTTTTGAGTTTGTGTTTGAATGAGTCAAAACTTAAATTTGTATTTAGATAGTATTTTAATAAAAACTCAATGGTAATAGAAAATTTTAATAGGGTATATGAGTGGGGTTTTATTCGTCTTTTCGTTGTTAACGTACAGAAAAAAAAATCATCTCAATCAGAATTAAAACGAAAAAGTTTTAGCATTTTTAAGAATAAAAAAAATAATATTCATTAATTTGAGTTCAAGTTTCTGAACTCGAGTTGAAGGAGAAACTTGAACTCGAGTTTTAGTTCCAAACTCAAGTTCAAATTCGATTCAAACTTAAAAGAACATAAACTTGAATAAAGTTGTAACTCGAGTTGCTTTTTTTTTAGTTTGTATGGCTGCCGAACAGCCCCCAAGTTTACCCTTCAACTCAAGTTCTTAAACTCAAATTCAAGTTAATGAACAATATTTTTTCTATTCTTAAAAACGTCCTAACTTTTTCGTTTTAATTTCGATTGAGATGAATTTTTTTCTATGTGTTCACAACGAAGAGACGAATAAAACCCCACCCATATACCCTAGTAAAATTTTCTATCACCATTAAATTTTTATTAAAATATTATCTAAAAACAAATTTAAGTTTTGACTCACCCAAACACAAAATCAAATAGATTCTCAATTCAAATCATAACTCAAGTGTGCACATCCAAACACAAACTCAAGTTACAACTTTAACTCAAATTATAACTCAAATTTAACTTAAGATCTACACTTAAGTCACCATTACTCAATAATGCAACCGAACAAGCGCTTAATGATGTGAAATTTTAACTCACTCGTGGTTTATTTTTACTGTGGATTTGTCTAAAAGTACTTGTACTTCCTTCAAATGAATGAACAAGATACACCGAAATTCAGGGTTATAAGCGCAAGCGGTTTGAAATAGACCTTTGGATATTAAGCTTGATAGTCAGCGTTCTACTTCAGTACTAGGGTCGTATGTTACTTTTATTTTAATATGAAATAATGAAAAAATAAATAAAAGTGCAATGGGGCATGCATAATAAAAACCAAATCTCGGTAGACAAAATGAGAAAAGTTTTAAGAGACGTTTGGTTTATGGATTAGAATCATTTTTGATTTACGTATATTTTTTAATGAGAAAAAACATTATAATCAACTATGAACCACGATTCAAATCATGATTTGAATCCTCCAATCAAACGTCCTCTTAAAGTAGGTTTTATTTTTAAACAAAAAAAGTCAATAAGATCAATTGCTCTAATCGTCTCGAGCGGCTCTGCCACTGTTGAGATAGAGTTTAAAAGTGAATAA